GCTGGGCCCGAGAAGCGCCAGAGGAGGGCCTGGAGCCCGGGCTGGTGGGAGCGGGTCACCCTGCAGTGGCCCCGGGGTAGGGTGGGGTGCAGCGGGGGTAGGGGGTGGGACTCGGGGCCCCAGGCCAGGCCCTCAGTGTAACAAGCCCAGGAAGAAGGCCAGGTCACTGGAGCTGCTCTTGAGACCCGCACAGGGACCTGGGCCCACACCGCAGCTTGGGGGAGGACGGCCAGGACCGGCGTGCAGGGCCAGGGGGGCCCATCTTAGTCCTCCTTGTGGCTGAGCCCTCTGCTCCTTCACTCGTGTCCTGGCGCCCTCCAGCCAGAGGGCCCAGCCCGTCCCCCAGCCTTCACTGCATGCGGGTCCTGGAGGGAGCCCAGAGCTCCTCAGGCTGCCCCTAGCACTCCCTTTCCTCGGGGACTCTGCCCCCTCACCTATCCCCTTGTCTCTGACACTGGGACCCAATTGGAGTGGCGAGGCTTGGGGGGTTCTCCCCATTCTACTCCTGTGGGCATTTGAACCCCTCTTCATCCCAAATGACCTCCTGGTCATGCTTTGGGGGCCCTCCCTTGACTCTTGCGGTTGGGGGGACCTGGACTGGGTTGTGGACTGGTGTGTCAAGGGGATTCCCTGGGGATCTTTCACATCAGTGTGGTGAGGGGTGGGGCCCAGGGGGCTGCGGCTAAATCCTTAAGCTCTTTATCCAGTGTCTCATCTAGGCTGGCTCATCCCGCTCTGCAGGAGGGAGGGTGTGGGGTGGTTCTGGTAACTGCGCAGAGATGGGGGCTCCCGGCCCGTATCCCCCACGGCCGACCTGGAGCTGTCCTGGCCCCAGAGGAAAAGGCACGCAGCTAGGGATGCCTGGGGTGGAGGCGGCTGGTGGGGAGAGGGCTCCAGGCCGTAGTTCCTAGTTCGGGGAGTCCCAGTTTCTCACCAGCACCTCAAGAACTCCCTCTGGGTCAGGTTCGCCCGCCCTGCCCACACCCCCAGACCCCTCCTGCCCCGGGTCTCACTCACCGACAGCGCTCAGCCCCAGGAACAAAAACCGTAGTAGGCTGGCCACCAGGGACCCGGGCAGGGGCATCATGATGCTCCCCGGCCCCGCCAGTCAGGGCACCAGCGGCCGCATCAGCTGCAGGTGGCCGCCGGACGCGCGCTGGGCGAACCCGCGCCTGTGCCCCCCAGGCCGGCCCCAGCCGCGTCTGAGCCCGAGCCGGAGGTGGGGGGAGCGAGGGACCTGGACACAGGACGGGGCGGGGCGTCGAAGGGGCGGAGAGGTCGCTGTCCTCAGGGCGGGGCGCTCAGGGACCGCTGGTGCGGGAGGAGCTCGCCCAGTGGAGTCCCAGGATCCTGCCAGCGCGGGCTGGAGGGTCCGGGGCTCTCACTTGGCCACTCCCTCACCAGGGTGCACAGGAGGGCCGGGGGAGGTTTGGGGACTGTCCCCCAAGTGCAGGAGGCAGCCATATCCACCAGGGAGGTTGGGACTCTACTAAGCTTGGGACCACCGCATCCTAGGCTTAAACAGGTGGCCTTCCTGGAGGAGCGGAAGCAGAGTCACGTTTTCCCAGGGCCACCGGGATCCCCGCGATGTGAGTCACAGTGACAGGCCTGGGATGCCATCAGCCTGGCGGGGGCGGGCCAGCAGCCACCGGGCCAATCCCAGGCCAGACCAGGCAGCCGGTCCCACCCCCGCCCTGGAGAGCGCCTGGGAAGGCACGAGGTCCCCACCAGAGCAGGGTTTACCCTGGTCCGTGGCCTTGGAACCCAGCCCTGGGGCTGAGGCAGCAGGAAGGTGGGCGCCCTGCTCTGACTTAGGCCCCTGCGGGCAGCGCTGACTCTGTGACACCTGGGGCCAGACGCTCGCGGTGAGTTTCATGTGCTTTTCCCTCCCCCATCTGGGACAAGGCGCCCGCAGCCACAGCCCGGCACACACCTGGTCCTTGCTCCTCGGTCCGACAGCCAGAAAGATGCTTCCAACAGCGGGCAGAGCGAGGCCGGCTGCCAAGGGGCACGAGGGCAGACAGGCCACCCCCTCGCCCCACCTGTCTGCGAGGCCTGAGGCCCCGGCCCAC